TAACTAACTTTTCCATCTCAAAGAACTACAGAGTCATTGATATAAAAAGAGTGAAAGTGGACAATAGAGAAGCGCAAGTGTTTGAAACTCTGCGAAAAACAAATGTTTAGTCATGGAAACAATAATGTAAGTTAATAACTTAGTCTTTGTTATTTCAAGGTATACATGGTCCACGGGTAAGTAAATTAACCTTCACATTAACAAAAGTTTTAATGAGTCAAAGTCGATCACAAGATGAAACAGAGACTGGACACAGTTGTTTATACTTGAAACAAAGAACGTATTTTATTTGCATCATGAAAACAATTTGTAATGTCAATAATATGCTTGAGAATGGACAGCTTCTTTGAGAACAGAAAGAACTGGCACGAGAACCATATAATATATAAAGACAATTCCACCCAAGAACAAAAATAGTGGAGTTCTGAAAAATATTTAGCTTTGCGTATAACTATGTTCCAATTCAACTTCTGCCAAGACTTTACAGAATTCCATGTAAACTTTAGCAGCCGGATTCAGATGACCATAAATGATTGCTTAAAAGGAAAATTAACCATAGTTCATAGCTGGACACATTCTATTCAAGTACAGGCAACCCGTTCAAAAGTTTCGAAAAGTGCCTGAATATATATCAGAATATGGATACATCCATTTTCTAAGTCAAGAAAGGGTCACAGCCATAAGTTCGACTTATAGTACCCCATAATGCTAAAAGGCTTTCCAAAGACCCAAGTTTAATAAGCAAAATAATAGATGCAACTTTTAACTAAAATACTGAAAAAATGTAATTGAATACACCTAAATAAAGATATATTAAGTTTCCACGTTAAGAAAGATTTACTGTCATAATACTTGCATTTCATAACGATGTATTCTTTTGTAAATGGACAATAGACAGCATAATAATTTCAAGATCTGTTAGGTTTTGTTGTTTATGGATTTACTTTTCAGAATCTACAAATATATAGATATATTTGTTTATTTACTGATGTTTATAATTTATTCTTTACGTTAGCTCAAATCCAATACATTCAGCGGAAAAATCTACACTTCTGTACAGATTTCGTATCCTTGCATTTAACGATGATGAAGTCGTTGACAATCTGTAGATTTTTGTATGTTTGTTGTTCCACACAAAGCTACATAATAGGCTATCTGTGCCCTTTATGGGTATCTAAACCAAATTTCTAGCGTTATAAGCCCTAAGATTTACCATTGAGGCGCTCGAGGGTAGGGGCAAAATATACAACAAATCTTTCACACCAGAAGGCGCACGTAATACCATAAGGGAATTACTCACAATAACGGTTTCTGTTTGTATAGCACAAAGCTACACAATGGACTATCTGTGCTCTGCCCACCACGGGTATCGAAACTCGGTTTCTAGCGTTGTAAGTCGGCAGACATACCGCTGTGCCACTGGGGGTGGGCTACTCACAATAACAGGTTATTTAGGGCGAAAGGAATTTAACTGTCCTCGATTAAGATTTATTGCTAAAACTACAACCACTTATATTCAAGAAAATTTTTATCTGAACTTTAGAATTAAGTGAGGGGGTGGAAGGAAAGGCCTAGTATACCTGCATACTACATTTCTGATTCATCATGTATATACGTTCATATCGAATATCCTTTTATTTCGTTGTATCTTTTCCATTTATGAGTGATATTCAATTATAGTTTAAACACCATTTAGTTATATTCGGAGGCTATGTTTAAGAAATAGAACACTTTTAATTATTTTTTTAGAAAAGTAGAATAGAACGTAGTTGAGACATGAAATATAGCAATTTCATTTATTGTTGAGTACTATGCTATACAATGGGCTATTTGTGTTGTGCCCAAAGCGGGCATTGAAACCCAATTTTTAGCGTTATAAATCCTCAAGCTTACGACTGAGTCGCTGGTGGGCAAACATAGTAATGTAATGAAATGAAATATCAAATTACTGATATGTAACATTTTCCCAAAACATCGTTATGCATATATATTTTTTCTTCGTACCTAATTATTAATTTCAAAATGCAATTGCACTCACATATGCACTGCGAGAATAATCTTAGTTATATTTTTTTTTATCAGTAATTTCAAATAGCAATTTATCTTTGTGTAAACGATGCCCACATTGATACACCTGCAAAAACGATTACGACTCGGATGAAACTGTAGTGTACACGACCAATTTCTTCAAAGCGATATCAAGAGAACTCGAATTAGCTGATTCCCAAACATTTTGTTCTCATTTCTTCATGTGTTTTGCTTGAAAAATATACTAATTCCTCACAATACGTCGACATTTGTTTATTTATTGCGTAAAAACAAACTCTACAAAAAAAGTGTAAAAAAAAAAAAGATATTTTACAACAGACATGTGTGTATTTATTGGACTTGGTAATATATTTTTGTTACGGAAACATTCTCGTACTTTAACAGCAAATGTTTAGAGAAATACATTGGCTAATGCATCCCTTGTAGCACTTTATATTACTGAAACAAACTACATTATATGGGAGCAGTACGATATTTAATTCTTAATATATCACTAGTTTTCACATTTAAACAAAGAAACTAATATCAACAATATAATAACACTGAATATGCATGCTGGAATACAACTACAAAACAGTTTTACTTCTTTGAAATTTTTAACACACAGATGAACATAGAAACGTATGTAAAAAAAAATATATATATTGCTAACATTTGGTGTGTAGATTGAAGAAAATGTTCCACATAGTCATAATAACCTAATTACGTTTATAGATTAAAGTCCTAGTTAACACATCTGTACAAAATTCTTCCTAATTTTGATCTGATAAACTAGAGGGAAACCATTGACAACACTATCCACCGCCAATTTTTGTCTGATTGAATAGTCGGATTCGACTGTTACTCCTATAGCGCACCTACGGCTCCAAAATGTGGAACGCGGGTTTTTTCTGCAGACATGGGAGATAAACCGTGAACCTTCGGATTCACAGTCCGGACAAACTAAGTGGTAGGCCGCAAATGTGGAATATTAAAGAAAATAGTGACCTTTTAACTAACGTTTTTAAAAGTCGATCTGATAATACCGAAAACAATTTTATTTAATTGATTTTTTTAATGTAGAAGGTTTGTTTATTTGTAATTAAGCACAAAGCTATACAATGGGCTATCTGTGCTCTGCCCACCACGGGTATCGAAACCCGGATTCTAGCGTTGTAAGTCCGCTGTGCCACTGGGGGGCTAAGGTAGAAGGCTATTCCTCAATATTATGATATGTTTGTTATACAGACTAACGAAACGTTATTAAATCAAGTGAAATCGATAATAATACGTCAAGAAAACGTGTTACTCATTCGTTGTACGTGACTTTTGATTGGGAAGCGACTACTGTGAGGCTGATTTTTAAAAATATAAACGATAAATTTGGTTTTAAAACTCGTTAGCAAGTAATATGAAACTGAAACCCCTCTGAATATTTATGGCATGTAAAAAAATCTTTGAAAAGAAAAATTTCACGCCAATCCACATCTTTTGTACATTAGTTTCGCTTGGTCTACATTACGGAGTATCAAGTTATATAAATGTATCGGTAATTCCGATTCTTTCTAGGTTTACTTTAGCTGTGATAAGATCAATGACACAATAAGTTTCGAAATTTCTTTTTTTTTTCATTTAGCGTAATTTCTAACTATGCCAATAATATATAATGTATCCGACAAAACAGTAATATATGCAGCAATAGTTCAAAGTGCATTAATGTAGAAGTCTTTACATCATTTTTTTCGTGTTAGAAAAACAACAATTTGGTTTACTGTGTTTTCACACAATGGTTGCAGAACACAGCATCATAAAATAATTATATGAGAAAAAGTTCACGGGCCTTGCATGACAACGTAAATTAAATCATACAAGTTATTTTATTATCACTAGCTCATCCCACAACTACTATTCCCAAGTATTTACTGTTATTTTTTTGTACGATCTTTACGTGCAGGGATAATTTTACTATCTGAGAAATTACGGGAATTCTTGTATTACAATCATCCATAAAATATAACTGCTACTTACCCTTCAAGCCTGTGAAGAGCATGATGGAATATATGAACCCTTGAAAATTTGAACAATTATCATGTTTGGATAAGTATACAGAAAACATGTGTGAAATATTTCTTCAAAATACCAAGAAAAAACCTATGCTACAACTATATAAAGTTATATTTCATAAACATAAAATATATCTTAAATTTAAAAATTCTGTAACAGTGTATTTTAGAACATTTATATTTTTCTCTAAACTAGAACTAGAAATTAACTGTAATTGCATTACAAATGGCAATGACTTATTGCTGAAAACACATGCACACAGTTTAGAGTTAATATTACAAATATTAATTATTTCTGATAAGAAATTAAGCAAGAAATATATAATGCCAAACATGGTTACACAAGTCATAATAATAATAATACATTTGTCTTTCAGAAACAAGACACAGTCCGTTTTTATAACTTCTATTATTTTAGATGTTTCATTTAACAATACATTGATTTTTTGAGTTCTGAAAACTGTGCTTCTTTCTTTTGATCTTTACTGACATACCTAGAACTACACCTAAGTTATTTAAGTGAAACTTTATTTAGATATGGTTACATTTGTTGTTAATTTATTTACTCAGATAATCAGTCATTAAAAATGTAATTAGCTGTAATTTTTCCTTTATTATCAAGGAGCAGCATTTCAGATTTTAATAGGGGGTGGTGGAAGCTTCTATTAGTGACCCAGGAGCTGAATGGATGCTCTTGGACATATTAAAAGTTAAAATGTAAAAAGCAGTCTATTTTAGAATATTTGCTCTAATTATTTCCTATATTATCTGATAGCAATTCAAATAGTACAAACTAGAAAACTTGTTTATATGTATTGTTTCCAAAATAAACAAATGAGAGTGTGCACAGGGGGAATTACCCCCTTCCCCCACATTACCTAAATGACACCACTGCTTTTATTTTGAAATCATTATTGAAATTTGAAAAAGGTAGTTAATTTTTTGTATGTTACCAAGTTTTAAATATTTAAAGTTATAATAAATCCTTTTTTTCATAATTTGTTAAAAGACATTGGGTTTAAGACAAAATGATGTTTTTCTTATAAAACTACACACTTTTTCTTATACTGTCCTAGTTTTGTTGCACCATTATTTAATTTATTTTCTGCCACCTTCCGGTTTCTGATTTCTCTCATTAGGTCAAAGAAAACCTGCAAATACAAATAAAATGAAATTTAATGTACCTTTTAATTTCTATTTAAACAGTTTGTGTTTTTAAAGGGTTAAGTAAGTTATACTAAAACGATTTTGAATATGCAAATCAGCATGTCATGTAACAAACACAGTTGGTATAAAATTCCAGTGGAACAGCATCTACCAGAAATACATTTTGATATTGTTTGGCATTTCATTGGTAGTGTGATGCCATCAACAATTTATTGCATCTAGGAAGGGTCTTTAACAGCCCTTTTCAAAACAAAATATCATAAGTTCGATGACGAGAAACCCACTTTGAGACTAATAATGGTTGGAGACGGCTTGAATGGGTAATGAAGAAGTTTTGCAATAGCATCCGGTCATGTGACCTCTTTGTTCAATACTGTATATATATATCCATGTCAGTGTAAATTACTTGTACCTGATGATCACAAAACCTTGTCAAATCTTTGTACATTTGCTGTTATGTTAAACTTATATTAAAGTGTTTCTTCATTACCCATTTAAGCCGTATCTAACCATTAAAATATCATAAGGATGTGTTCAGATCAAGGACATCTCTCGTACTTATTGGCATTAGAAAACTAAGGAAAATGGGGGCACTAGGACTATCCAAAAAGAGGCATGTAACAAGTCATATCCCAGGCATTGTAAAAAAGGATGATGCCTTTAACAGGTAAGAATCTACAAATAAAAGGCCAGTGGGAAAACAGTACACATCATAATCAAGAAGGATCTGCATTTGGAAAACTTACACAAGTTGCTTCCACAACATATCCATTAAACTATCATATACTTTAGCAGCTGGATAATGAAATGGGTATTTATGTTATTCTATACATGGACATACTCATCAATTCACTGGATGCATCATTTACGGATTTATTTGTGGTCTGACTGTTAAAATGATCACTGGGAAACTGTAATTTTTGTAAAATAGATGGATTGTTGAAAGCTTCCAAGGAGAAGTGGTATGCTTTTGACATGGCAGCCTTACAACAGAGCATTTTGCAATGAAAACTAAAATGCATAAACATCAGATAGAGCAGGACCATAGGTGATCCCATAGACTGTAGTGATATGATGAGGTTCCAAAATTATTCTAACATAATGTACTCAACCTCCAATAAATATATAACACATAAAACTCATGAAAAGTAACTTATTGAATGCTTCCTCCTCTTTTTTCAGATACAAGTTAATAAACAACAATGCTAAATATCAATTTTATAAATAATACACATGAGCCTACACAAAGTTGTATGTTTTTAGCTTTGATAACATTAAAACTTTACTAATGGTTGAATTAAGTTTTAGCAATGTTATCACTTTTAGCACAGAACAAGATAGGTACTTACTATAATGCTAAATAAATACAATAAAAATCATGTTGTCATCACAAAAGTTAGAAAAACTACTTATATATATATATGTACTTGTTCAACACAAACACTAAACTTTTATTTCCTTAAGTTACAGAAGTGTTTCTTATTAAATTTGTTTCCTCAAAAGTGTTATTGCAAATACCAAATTTTGACTATTAAACAATTTTATTGTTTTTTTTTATGGTAATACATTTCAGACAAATTTTTACACATAAAAAGGTTAATAAGCTATACTTTCCAATGATATAAACATACTTTTTATAATTGAATGATATAAAGATAATTCAAAACCTAGCTTGGAAACTGATAACCACCAAGGGTGATTTAAAATTCCAGTTGTTTGGCTAAGCAATACAAACAATTGAGACAGTGTCATCTCTAAGTGTTCAAAGATAATTCTACAAAGCTAGATTTTAGTTCAAATCTGAAAGCACCATGTGGTGATGATATTAAAATATTGGGTGTGGCTGGCAGTGAAGAGGGTGCTGCTGCTTTACAAAAGGACTTAGAATATTTGGTGAGTTCAGCGAATAGATGAGATATGGACTTTAATTAAAATAAATGCTAGGTAATGCACGTGCATTACCATAATTTAAATTATAAGTGTAATTTTGATGGAAATAATCTTAAAAGTGCTAAGGATGAAGAGAATCTTGGTGTTCTGGTTGATCAGTTTCTTAAGTCATCCAAGCAGTGTGCTATTACTAGTGGTAGGGTAAATACTTTTCAATTTTACATTGAATATAAATATTGTGGAAAATGTTTGGGTAGCTACATTTTATCACAGTTACTGTTAAACTCTAATCGATGCATACAAAAGCATTTTAAAATTATGTACAATAAGTAGTAACGGATTCTACTTTAATTAATTATTTCTTAAAGGGCTCCTCAAATCAACAACATTACCTTATCCACATTAGCTCTTGTTTTGGCTGATGTTTCAGCATATGGTATATCCCATTGCTGTGCTTTCTTTTCTGCTTCTTCAACAGAAACTTGTCTTTTGTCCTCTAAGTCTGTCTTATTTCCAACAAGCAAAAAGGGAATGTTTTCATCACCTTTCACACGTAGAATTTGTTCCCTATAAAAACACAAACATGAAACTAAATTAACAAGAATGCATCTAAGCTTTCAAAATTTAAACCTAACATGCAAGTTCATACTTCCAACGTATATATTTAACAACTTGAACAGATCCCTTATAAATCTTGAATACATAAATCATGTCTTCTTTAATTCTTCTACACTCTAGAGAAAATATGTCCAGAAATCCAGACCTCTCTTATAGTTTCACTAAGTAGTCTGTCTCTACACTATTTCCAACATGTTGATAAAAGGCTTGTAAAAGAAATTATCTCTATAGGTGTGGGGAATAAGTTAACAAATTGGATAGAAGAGCGGCTGGATGGAAGAAAGCAGAGGGTTGTTACAAATGGAGCTCAGTCAAACTGGATTAATGTCACAAGTGAGGTACCTCAGAGCTCAGTCTTAAGACCTTTGCTCTTTTTGATCAATAAATTACTTAAATTTGCAGATGATATTAAGGTCTTGGGTGTTACTAGCTGTGAAGAGGATGCTGCTGAGTTACAAAAAGATTTAGATCATTTAGTGAGTTAGGCAAATAAATGGCAGATGGGTTATCATAATTTTAAGTATACTTTGGATGGGAATAACCTTAACAGTGTTATGAAGGAAATGGATCTTGGTGTAATAGTCGATCAGTCTCTAAAGCTATCCATGCAGTGTGCTGTTGCTAGTGGTAGGGCAAACAGGATTTTAGGTTGTATCTACATAAATATTGAATACAAGTCTAAACAGGTTATAATTTCATTGTACAGGTCACTTGTTAGGCCACATTTGGAATATTGTGTTCAGACTTGAGTTCCTTACCTTAGGAAAGACATTGAATTGTTGGAAAGAGTTCAGAGAAGGGCTACTAAAATGGTGCTTGGGATGGAGGGATTGTCATATGAGGAAAGGCTGAAATATTTCAAATTGTTTTCTCTTGAAAAAAGAAAGTTAGGGGGGATCTGATTGAGGTATTTAAAATTGTAATGGGAATTGATAGTGTTGATGCATCATCTTTTTATTTATATTGAACAGTGAGAACAATAGGACTAGGGAACACAAATATAAATTTTGGCAAGGTAGGAATCATCTTCAGCTAAGACAGTTTAATTTTTCTAACAGGATGGTTGGCCTTTGGAATGGGTTGCCTTCAGATGTTGAAGAGACAGTAAATTTAAGTGAGTTTAAGAACGAGCTTAATAAGTATATGAATGAGAAGGGCTGGCTTTAAGATTTTGTTGTTCTTTTAATCAATTCAATTTAGTTTAGAGGATGGACCAACAGGTTCCATGTTGTCCAAAAAACATTATGTTATATTCTTCTGATAGTAAGGGGGTGTGTTTTCTTAAAGTAAAGCCACATCGAGCTATCTGCTGTGTTAATCAAGGGGAATCAAACCCCTGATTTTAGCATTGTAAATCTGAACACTTACCAAAACTTCACACAGTGCTTCAAATACATATGATAAAAATAACTTTCTTACTTTTAAATTAAAAAATTTCCAAATCCAAACCAAGGCTTCTATTTTTATTTTTCATCACAGGTAAACGTTGAACAAAGATTTTTAGGATATTTTATGAACAATCATATTTATTTTATTTTATTTTCCACAACATCATACTCTTAATTTTAACAGAAGAGGCAAATCCTTTCTGAATTTTCATGCCTCAAGTGAATAACTTTACATGTACTTCTTAATATGAAAACTTATTTTCAACATTCTGGCCCATTCAACAAGACAATTATGTATTTTCATATCACAAAAAATATTCTGAATAGAATCAGCACTTCCCAACATTTAAATATAATTGACAAATTTGGAAATACTGCTAAGAGTCTGCCCAAATCCTTAAAAGAAATAATGAATAACAAAGGACAAATAATAGACCCCAGAAGGACAATACTACCTGCATATTCTGAAATAAAGAAACAAACAAAAAATCCATTTATCATCATTATTGGCCTTCTACTACTAAATAAATTTTCTCTTGATGTCCTTTCTTTTCCATCAATTCTATAAGCAAGTAACATATAAACTTACTGTATGCTGTACGTAGTAAAACTTTTGTTTATTTTATTCACCAGGTTTACCTGGCATGATTAGGTACAACTGATAAAAACCTGTGTGAATTTAAAAAAACAGTTATTTCTAATATTTAATTAAATTTACTACCTGTTATCTTATCAAAGACTTCATAAAAGACTTGCACTATAAAATGAGGTGTCCTTATTCAAAAAAAGTTGAAACCCCATTAAAAATATCAAACAATTTGGTATCTGGATGATGGAAAAGGTGTGGACTTGATGGACTTAAATTTTTAAAAATCTTTTCATAAGATGCCACTCAAAAGATTACCTTAGAAAATCATATCTATAGGGTTTGTGAAAACACTAGTTAATTGAATCATCGGGTGACAGCATGAGAGAAAACAAAATATTGTTATGAATGGGCCAAACTGGACACCTGTTACTACTAGAATGCCTTAAGGATAAGTTCTTGGACCTTTGCTTTTAATTTGTTATATTAATGATTTTGGTAGGAGCATAATTAATAGAGCAGTAAAGTTTATTAATGATTCTTGTGAATTTCTAGCTGTACTGAGGATATTGAGGTATTACAGAATAAGATGAAACAAACTCACATCCCTTAAATAGCAAGTTTTTATTCTAATAGTTAATCAATAGATTAGGAATATAAATACTATTGCGAGTTAAATAATGTGTGTTTTATTATATTATCCACATGAAGTGTTCTTGTTTAAACACACACGTGCATTTGTGAACACTTTATATCTACTATACAGAAACTTAAATGCCAACTACTGTGTCAACTTGAGTGAAATTTTGGAAACTGTACAATCAACCACTCTCACAGACTTTAACAAAACAGTAAAACTAAAGAAATTAATGCCTGGATGTGAAACTATAACAGAATGTCAATAATTCACCATTCAGGCAAGCTTATGAGAACTGCACAAAACTACTGCAATCACAGGACACTTATACACAAATGTTTTTTATGCAATTGGCTACACTGTGTTTACCTAATAGAAATATTTCTCTTCAATAAGGCAAACAAATCAATTAAATTTAGGCTTCAATAATCTTGAATATACCTATATATATCTAAACGCACATTACAATCCTTGAACTCTTCTGTTTTTCTCTTCTTTACTATTTTCTACTGGTTTCATGACTTCAAAGGTCACTCACTCTTCAGGATGTAATTTTACAGATAATTATATTAAAATGTTAAAATACCACTTTTAACTAAACATAAGTAGCCTGAATTAAATAAATACATATTTTAGAAACATACAAACATAAAACACAATCCTTATATAAACTAAATAATTAAAAAATACTCAAAAATGAATTACGTTAAGCTTGTCAAATATACTTCCCTTCTTTTTGATTAAAATATTATTTTAATTATACTTTCTTCTGTTATTGTAGAAAAGCCATTTATTTTCATAATCTTGAACAATTTAATACAAAATATACCTCTTAATTACTTCATCTTCATTTTCATAATTTCTAGTCATAGTTTTTACTGTTGCATAATTCCAACTCACTAACTTTACTCAACTATTATTACTTCTTCTCTCTTACCTTTATTTTTACAATATTTACCTAAACCACACTATTCCAGAGAAGCCTTAATGTTCTGAAATAGAGAATATATATTGAGGAATAGCTCTCCAGAATGGACAGACATTATGATAATACTGCAACTCATATGTTGAAGGGAGTCAACTTCCACATTCAAAAGTATATAGATTTTATGAAAATACTAACCTAAACTCTGCTGTTGCAGAGAAGCTTTCATGTTCTGTTATAGAAAACACACAAAGGAATCCCTCTCCAGAACGGAAATAATTGTCACGAATTGCAGCATAATCTTCCTGACCCGCTGTGTCAAGAATGTCAATTTGAACCTCTTCTCCATCCAACATGACCTTTTTTCGATAGGAATCAGCTTTTGTGGGTTCATAATCTTCTATAAACTACAAAGTAAAAGTATTAAACTTGTTTTACGTCTAGTGATTGAAACATGTATAAACAACTGAAAAAACACATTACAGTATTTTCAATCAACTTAAATAGTGCAAAAGATTTTTAAAAAGGAAAAGATCCTGAATAAAAAATTTTCACTCCAGTGACTTGTAACAAGCTATATAATGATTTATGTGAATGCTTAGATATATCGTTCATACAATATTTATACTGTACATTCTACAGTTTTGTGTTTTTTCAGTTGCAGCATCAACCATTGTGAAATTAACAGCTACATTATATAAGATATGCACAGAAATGTTCACACTTCAGTAAACACTGAAATGTATAATATATCACAGAGCTAACAAAAATTCATGAAAGTCAAAGTATATTTGAACATGACAAAACTATATAGACATTTTTCATTCATTGAGAAAAACTATTTATTATGACTCAGAGTATAATGAAACAAGAAGCTTATATATCAATAAAAAAATTTTGAAATTGTAATGCATATTTATAAAATTACTGTTTCCATACAGATGCTATTAATCTTAAGAATTTAACTGGTTATGTTTTAATTTCAAAAAGTACACCACTAATCTTCAAATGACAAGAGCACCATAATTTTCTGAGAAAATCTTTATTGTCACTGGTAATTTATGTAGAAAATATATATCAGCATTAATTATCCTAAATAACTTTTATCAAACACAATTACCTACTACTGGAATTGGGACAAGATAATAAGTTTCTGTAATAATTAATAAGCCCAAATTCTGTTAGAGCAAAATTAATTCATTAAGTTTATTTGTTGTGTTTATGGTGGCTAATTAACTTATTTATTGACTGCAAAATTTCTAACATTAAATAAGCATAGGATGTAAATAATATGGGATCCTGAGTATCTGATAAACTGCTAGGTCACGAGCCTGAACAAATACTGAGTATGTGATTCTTTACAATAATACAAAATCCACCCAATAAGATTATTCTGAAATGTTGCTCTGAGCCTTGGATATCATGTATAAATTTACCATATCCGAATATTACACAAATGTTTTTTTTTCAGGTTTAATTTCTTACACATGAATTTATTTTCTTCCTATAAAAATATACTGATATGATATGGATTGATATTACATATGAATTGCCTTAAATTGTGAATTCAAAAATTCATGCACCAATTTTCACAAAATCATACTTATATATATAAATGAGGCATTTCCAATTTACATTTATAAAAACGCCAATATGGGAAACATTTTGTAATATTTTATTTCTGACATAAGATGTATATAACAGACAACCATAATTTAACCTATTATTATTAGTATTAGGCTTAACATTTACTATAAAATTATCTAGTAGTAGTTGGTAGCCCCTCGATACGACTCGGCCAAGCGTCTACAAATAGACGTATCGAACGTGCAGTCACAAGCAGAACGCGGCGCCATTGCTGACTCATATCCGTACTTGTGTCACAATAAGAAGAATAGTTGAATACTGAGTCAGAAGCGCACGCTAGCATTCTCAGGTTTGCATGACGCGTTGTAGAGACGCCATTATTGTGTCTTGATGATTGAAAAGAGTCATTGGTTATATTTGTAAGTGCGATGTACACATATTTAGTTGTAACTTAACGTGAGATTTTGGGTATGTTCAAAAGCATCCTTATTATTTTACTGGGTGAAGACATCAAGGTTAGTAGATAACCACTTTGTATTTTTTCTTTGCCATGTAGTTCAATGTGTTTTAAGCCTAACAACATGACGCACACATAAAATAAGGTAGTTAAGACAGCGAAACTCCACTAATTAGGTTTCGTAAAGACTTATGCAATTTTTTTCTTAACCTTATGGGAGGGAAACTAGAAAGTGCCTGATATATCCCTGATATAATAAAACCACGGTTTATGTTACCAAGCTGTAGAAAAATGATATATGTATATATAATGTGTGTTTGTTTTCATGTTATGCTTTACAATAATACTAATAGTGATGTGTATTTTTATTATAAGAATATAAAATTTTCAAAGATTTATAAAATAATTTTTTTGGTTGTCAGAATTTAAAAATATCCC